GCCGCCGCCAATGAAAAAATCTCTGGCTAGTCGACGTTCACAAGCCTGAGAAAGGTATCACTATCATCAATATTCAAAATTTCCAAATAAATTTTAGTGAATGTTATCTTTGATTTTCTGTAGTGTAATTTATACTGTAAAAAGTTATAAGAAATAATTTCGATTTGTATTTTGCACTTCAGTAGTTGATTGGTATGAGTTCACATGGTTGGGACTTGGGAGTTTCGTTACTCAATATTCATGTTGTGCTTAACGAAGTGTTTTTTTCTTAACTTATCTTCATTTTTCACTCATGTCTCTCACTCATGTTTGTCACTCTATGATGTATGGACTAAGAAATCAGTCAATCACAACAAAATTCTTTTCTATTACAGATTATTGTTAGCATTTAGGTATGAGATTAGATTATGCTAAAAAAAATTTGTAATATAGATTTCTTACATAATTATTTTCCCTGCCTACTATTATGATATTGTCTGTTTCCTTTTGGTTTTCATTAAAAGTTGTTGATCTATTTTGTTGAATTATATTTCTTCCATTGATAGTTTCATAATGTCATATAGATTTTTTGCTGATGGAATCATGTAGACCTGAAGTTTCATCAGCTCCAACATTAGAGCAAAATTCTGCTGCAAACCAACAACATGAGAACACTGGTTCTGTAAATGACAGAAATAGCCCTCCTAATAATACTGAAGAAGAAAATGCAGATGAAGAAAGTTCCCATTTTGAAAGGAAGAAAAGTCAAAAGACTTCTCCAGTATGGGGTGATTTTAAAGAAGTTATGATGTCTGATGGGACTAAAAAAGCACAGTGTATACATTGTAAAAGTAAACTCTCCATATTAGCAAGCGCTAGTACTAGTCATTTGGGACGACACTTGAAGAAATGTATCCCAAAAAAACTTTATGACCAACAACAACAAAAGATCACTTTGCAAGTAGTTGATTCGGGAAGTAATTCACAACATGTCACCCCCGCCTTTACCGATGGAAAGTTTGATATGATGAAAATGAGAGAGTCAATTGCACATTGGATACTTATGAACGAACATCCTTTCACAATTGTTGAGGAAGAGGGGTTTAACATGATGCAAAAGCGCGGAATGCTTGAGTGGGAAACCGTCCCACGTGTTTCCATTAAGGCAGATTGTAAAAAAGTTTTTGAGATAGAAAAGAAGAAGCTGAAGGATTTATTGAAATCTATTTCAAGGATTAGTGTGACCACAGATATATGAAAGTCTACCAATCAGAAGATCGAATATATGGTTCTTACAGGCCATTTTGTCGATTCTAATTGGCATTTACAAAAGCGTGTTCTTAGCTTTATTCACTTACCTCCTCCTCATCGTGGGCTTGAGATTGCCGACAATCTTTATAAGTGTTTGAAGGATTGGTGCATTGAGAATAAGGTGTTTACTATTTCGGTTGACAATGCCTCAAATAATGACTCGACTGTTAGGATCTTAAGTGAAACTTTTTCAAGGGTTAAGAAGTTGCCTTGTGGAGGAAAGATGTTTCATGTACGTTGTTGTGCACACATCTTGAATCTTATGGTTAAAGATGGACTTTCTAGAATTGGCCATATCATTGAGGATATACACGACTCTGTCACATTTATCAATCAAAATGAGTCAAGACTCAACTTGTTTTCTGAGATTGTGCAACAATTACAATTGCCACATAGAAAACTTATTCTTGAATGCAAGACAAGGTGGAACTCAACATATGAAATGTTGTCCGCTGCAATCAAATTTAAAGAGGTATTTCCAATGTACAAAGAAAGAGAGCCACGCTACATTAGTTGTCCCACAAATGAAGATTGGATAAATGTGGAAAAGGTATGTGAGATTTTAGAAGTTTTTTACTCTGCAACTAATATTATCTCTGGTAGTGAGTATCCAACTTCAAACCTATTTCTTAATGAAGTTTATAGAATCAAAGTTTTGTTGGACAAGAAGCTTCAAGATCCTAACGAATATTATTTTGTTCATGACATGGTTCGGTGCATGAAACAAAATTTTGATAAGTATTGGGGAGAGTGCAACTTGATGATGTTGATTGGTGCTATTTTAGACCCTAGGTGCAAAATGAGGGTTATTGAGTTTTGTTTTCCTAGGATGTATCCCGAACAGGAAGCTTGTGAAAATATAGACAAAGTTAAAAAAGCTTTATATGAATTGTATGGAGAATATGTGGATGAATATTGTTCTAGTGGCGGTGAAGGAAATTGTGAAACTGTTGTTGGTTTAAGTGGAAACAATGTGAACATTCAACCCTCATCTTCCGGATGGTCCGAGTTTGCTCAGTTTGTAAGAACAGTTGAAAATATACAACCACAAAAATCAGATTTAGATAATTATCTTGAAGAGGGTTGTTACATTTGTGATGCTGGCCCAACACCGTTTGATGCTTTACAATGGTGGCGATCAAATTCGTTAAAATATCGTATATTATCACGCATGGCTCGAGATATACTTTCTATTCCCATCACCACTGTTGCATCGGAAGCTACTTTTAGTGCGGGTAGTAGAGTTATTGACACATATAGAGCATCATTGGCTCCCGAAACGGTTGAAGTCTTACTTTGTGGAGGAGATTGGTGTCGAAGCCTCCATGGTTTGAAAAGAAAGAACAAGGTATGATTCATTTGTTTCTCATTACTTTTTATTTATATTTTATAATTTAATATATTTATTGTTCTCGTGTTTATGCGTTTCAGAAAGAGAAACAACAAATGGAGATCAATCTTCCTATTCCATGACAGATACATGAGAAGTAAGCATATTTAAAATGTTTAAAACTGTAAATTTTAGCTAATTTTTGTTGTTTTCAGGTTAAGTTGTTTTTTTGCTGTTGTTGCTGTTTTTTTGCCATTGTTGCTGCTTTTTTGGTGCTGCTGTTGCTGTTTTTTTTGCCACTGTTGCTGTTTTTTGGTGCTGATTTTTGATGTTGCTGTTTAGGTTAGTTTGCTGTTTTTTTTGGTTATTTATGTTGTATTTTTTGGTTATTGTTGTTATTTTGATAGGTACAAGAGATTGTGTTGGTGCTGAATTGGTAAAATGCAAATACATAGATGCTTGATGATATATTGACATTAGATGTTTCTTTTTGGTATTTTGGATATTTTTAAAATGCAAAGACATAGATGTTTCTTTTTGGTATTTTGGATATATGTAAAATGCAAAGACATAGATGGTTTATTGTGCATTTTTGCTATTTTGGACAATGTAAAAGCATATGGAATGTTTTTAATTTTTGATGATTTTCACCTTTTTTTATTTTTTATTTTTTATTTTTTAATTTTAGTCAAGTTGAACCGAGCTCGCGAGCCGAGCTCGATAGTATCGAGTATTTCACGAGTCGAGTTTGAGCTTCAGATTTAAGCTCGAGGCGAGTTCGAGTCGAGTATCTTAAGTGAGTCGAGATTCGAGCTTGGCAATACTCGGTTCGACTCGACTCGTTTACACCCCTAAGTACAATGAGGAAAACTCACCCCACAATCTGAAAAATAGTTGAACAGATCACCGCTCCAAATACTGCCTCTATAGATCACCTATACAAATAACAGGGACCCAATCTCTACTATTTTTGAATTTCCCAAAATTCCCTTAAGTCAAACTTGGTCAAGTCTATGGTTAAAGGTCAAAGTAAAAAAATCAAAGAGTCAACACACGCGGAGTACGCCCTGCATACTCTATTACCACACATGGCGTTGCGAATCCCTTTCTAGATTACGAGGCCCTGGTTATTACACACTGTGTATCACTAGGTACGCCTTGCATACTCAACCAACACCCACTTTCCTCATTAAGTGCTTATTCCTTTAAGTCCTTACATCCAAATCTCAAATCTAACCCTAAATAACCTCTTAAATCATAAAGTTTCCAACTTTATAACTTTGCATGACTAGAAAGTGTCCAAATCTAAAAACCTTAACATATCATAAGATTCTAAGCCTCAATACTCATGAATGGATGAAAGGAAAGGATCAATATCACATTTTTTATGACTCCATGCACTTCAAAAACATTTGAAAAGGCTACTCATTAGGTATGGAGTAGCTCATACTCAACTATGCCAAGAATATGGGATCAAAATGCACACAACTTAACTAACAAGATCTAGTGAAACACTCATCAAGTTTAGAATTATATACCTTTTGGAGGTTGCTTGAGAGGTGAAATTCCCAAATCTACAATGCTTGAAGCTTTCCAAGTGCACTCCAATGATCTTCTTCCTTCAAGGTTGGACATAAAACACTCAAATAACTCAAAAACTCTCATGAAAATTAGGGTCTGCAAGGGGTCGTTTGGGGGGATGGAGGCTGAAGGTGTTAGGGTTTATGGGAGTTAAGGTTGCTTAAATATGGTTCAAATCCTCAATATTAGGGTTTGCATATCTGCCGAGTACGCCTTGCGTCTCCATTGAGTACGCCATGCATACTCTTAAACATCCGCGTCCTTTTTAAAGCTTACGCCTAACGTACGCCCCGAGTATGCAGGGCGTAAGGACCATTTTTTTGCAATAATTGGTAATTTGAAACAAGAAAGGAAATTACCTGATTGGTTGGGTGTTACAAAAGAAGTCGAATTATGTGAAAATAGTCTTGTGGGTATCGATTGGATTGTTAACATTTTGATAGGTAAAAGATTTTTTTGGTATTCAGGAGTCGATCTCCATCTACGTGATCAGGGTTTGACTTAGATAGCTAGGGCAAACGGGATAGATAGCTTTTTGGGGAGTTCAATCTCATGTATTGGTTTTAATATTGAAGGACAATTTGGTGAATTTGTTTTATATATATTAATATGATTATAAAATATAAAAATCCATCAAAAAACTTAAAAAATATATTTAAAAAATAATAGGTAAATACGATATTTTAAAAGAAAAAAAAAACATATAATATTTAGATTTTAGGTTTGACAAATACATATTTTAAATTTTAATTAGAAAGATATACGAAAGTATAAAAAAAAAAAAAATTCTATAATAACGATGTTTGCTGACTGTTTATTGCATTCAACGTGTAAACTTCACACGGTCTTGTTGCCATTCACCAATGAGAAACATAAATAAAAGTTAGGTTTTCCATTTCTGTCATATAGATGGTCGCATAATTTTCTCAAACTCATGGAGGCTTGTCAAAGTCAAAACACATCCGAGATTCATCTACATTTTCTCCTGCTTCTTCGTTGATTTCTTCCGTTATCCTCCTGCTCTTTAAGGTTCGATTCTTTTGCAACCCTTTTATCAACGTATCATATCTCTATCTTGATTATCCATACTGTACGTCATTCTAGATTTAATTTTCCTGGGACTTATTGCAACAACTCTTAACCCGTTTCAAATTTGGGTTTTATTTTCCAGTTTTTTTGGATCATTGGTTGGAAGCCAATTCATTTACATACGGTTTCCGATATGCCTTTTTATAATTTCACCTGAATCTGTATTGATGGATCTTTCCTGTTTAAAGTATGATGGTTGACCTTATTCCAAATTGCTACTTACATTCCCTATGAAAGCGATCATCGATTTCAGAAAATTATTTCACCATTCTTGAAATGTATGCTTAAAAATAAAATAAAAACTAACCCTGTGCATTTAGGTCAGCGCCCTCGAATTTTATTTTGTAACTTATGAACAAATAATGCTCTGATATGAAAACTACATTATGGGGAGTTTGGTTTGCCAGATTCCTTGGGATTTGGCTGGAATTGGTTGCAAATGCTTAAGGAATTGAATTCCATTAGTTAAGGAATTCAACTTTCCCTCCATAAAGTCATGAAATTTATTCCATTCCTCCCTCATTTGTGTAAATGGCTGAAATAACTTTCCTAACACCAAAAATTGATAACTAGTTGTCTCCTCTTTAAAGCATGTGGAGCATATAACACAAACAATAATCTACAAAAAAGTCAATGAAGGGTGGTTATGTCATTTCTCATTATTTACATTCTAAACCTGTTGACATATTCATAAACAAATATAAAAAATACAAGGGATATTTTTTGTTTTAATGTGGTAATAATAGACATGAACAAACCTACATGGAAGCATGCATTTGCATTCCATGAAGAACATTATTGTAGTGTAAGAAAACAAAATAAAATAAAAAGTTGTTATGGTAGTGGTTAAAAACTTGGGAAAAATAACAATATAAAAGTAGTTAATTTTTATTACTTTCCGATCATTTTGTGAAGTTACAAGTTGGATACTAAAATGTTGAATTTGGCATTGTTGCATGCTTTGATGGGTCAACCAGAAGGTAAAAAGCTTGTGATTCTCTAAATGCGCCTAATTGGGCCTCGGCTAGCCAATGTTCCCATATCTTTGGATAAAAAGTACTTCCGGTTTCCATTATGAGAAAGAATATAAGTTTCTCCTCACTAACCCAAAAAAGGAGTCAAAGTCCAAGCGCTAAAATGGTATATTATGTAGTTATTAGGGATCAATGCAAGAAATAGCAATGTACTTTCATTCATTTGTTTATTACAACATTCTACTTTCATTTCTTTCTATTTCTGTGATGTACTTTGAAAAATGTATCCAGTTATAGCAATGTTATGTTGTTATCTAAATACAAAGCAATTTTCAATGCTATAACTGGATAGATATTTTCAAGTGTGTATATATATATATATATATATATATATATATATATATATATATATATATATATTGTAGCTAAGTTATGGAATTAAATTGTTTGCAAAGATGGGAGACGAGAGCCGAAGCTACACGGTGGATGATGCACTTGCAAGCGTAGGATTTGGGAAGTTCCAAATGCTTGTGCTTGCGTATGCAGGGATGGGTTGGATTTCAGAAGCCATGGAAATGATGCTTCTTTCGTTTGTGGGACCCGCACTTCAGTCTGCATGGAATCTTTCCTCTCATGAACAAAGCATGATTACTAGTGTTGTCTTTGCTGGCATGTTGGTTGGAGCATATTCATGGGGTGTTGTTGCAGATAAACATGGAAGGAGGTATAGTTTTCCATTTTTTTTAAATGTTTCAAAAAAAAAATGATTTGTAGTTGTAGTTTTATTGTTTTATTGTTTTTTTTTTTTTTTTTTAAATATTATAGGAAAGGATTTCTTTACTGCAATGGTTACTTCTGTGGCTGGTATGCTTAGTGCTTTAGCTCCTAACTACGCATGTCTCATCATTCTTCGCTGTCTTGTTGGAATTGGTCTTGGAGGTGGGCCCGTCCTCTCTTCTTGGTTTCTAGAGTTCATCCCTGCTCCAAGCAGAGGCACTTGGATGGTTTTCTTTTCAGCTTTTTGGACTATTGGAACTGTTTTCGAGGCTTCTGTTGCATGGGTATATATATGCTTCCTTTCCTTTCATTATAACTATACCTTTTGACAATGAGGATGACAAAGGGCATTTTTGTCTTTTGCACAGACAAGAGATCCAGAGCCAGTCTTTTTTGGGTGGGACAAAATTTAAATTTTTGTTCACTTGACATCAATCCTAGTCATAGTCCAATGAATGTCAAATGCAGTACAAAATTGTCCTGTTCTGCTTTGTCTTGTCATACAAAATGGGCCATTTTTGGGCCCGTTTTGTTTTTTTATGTAGAACAGGACAGAAACAGTTGTACTGTGTTTGACTTGCAGTTGCATTGGGACTAGGACTGATGTCAAGGGGACAAAAATTAATTTTTTTTTCCCACCCAAAAAAGGTGGGACGGGGACTCGCTCTTGATCTCTCGTTTGTGTAAAAGACAAAAATGCCCCTCCCATCTCTTGATATATTTTCTATATTTACTTTCGTAATATATTTTTAAATTTTCTTTTTTGTAGTTTGTGATGCCAACATTGGGATGGAGATGATTACTTGCATTCTCATCTCTGCCTTCATCTCTCCTCCTTGTATTCTACCATGTAGTCCCGGAATCACCGCGATATTTATGCTTAAAAGGAAGAACAAGTGAAGCCCTTCGAATCTTGGAAAAAGTTGCCAAGATAAACGGGAAATCACTTCCCTCCGGAATCCTTGTTTCCGACAATGAAATCGAGTTGAATGTCAAGTCAATGGAATCAGAAGGTGCACGCTTGCTCCCTCAGAGTAATAATAATAAGCACACGGATGATGAAAAACCGGAAGTTATCAATCATAGTAAAAGTAATGTGTCAACATTGGCAATGTTGTTTTCACCGGAATTGATAAAGCCGACTTTGCTTTTATGGGTGGTTTTCTTTGGGAATGCTTTTTCTTATTATGGGCTTGTGCTTCTTACAACCGAGTTGCATAATGGTGCGAATAATTGTGGACCAAATGGATCACGATCTCAAGGCTCGGAGGAGGTTAGCTACAAAGATGTCTTCATCACTAGTTTTGCAGGTATGCTTTGTATATGCATGTGTGGGTCCCGTTTTTGGATAAATAATGTTTGGTAGCATTTTAGAAAGGGATGACATAAAAGCCCTTAAGTTTGGCAGAAATATGCGCATTTACCCTTTAATGGATTTTAGGTTCACTAATACCGGATACTTGCAACTTTTTTTTTTCTTTCCGATTTTACCCTTTTTGCTAATTTACCTGGTAAAACCGAACATTCTTGCCAAACGTAAGTGCTTTAATGAACCTAAAATCCACAAAAGGGAAATTTCGTACATTTCTACCAAACTTAATGACTTTTATGTCATTATCCCTTTGAGAAAATAGAACGAAAAAATAAATGAGGGCAAATATGTAAAAAGTTAGGACTTAATGAGAATGCCTCTTTTTCTCGACTTAATGGAGAAAGACTATGAAAGAAGACTTTCCTCTTAATTGCCTTGATTTTCTCAAATATTTTCTAAACAACGCCTTTGTTTTTCTTTAATATATAAAAAAAAAGACATATTTTCATAGTTTAATACATTACATTGTTCATCTGTGGAAGATAATCTGGCTGAGTAGATTTACCTTTAATTTGGTTCAAGAGTTCCCGGGACTTATTATATCAGCTTTTACAATCGATAAATTGGGTCGAAAGCGCTCCATGTCAACAATGTTCTTCCTTTGTTGCATTTTCTTGCTCCCATTGACTTTCCAACAACCTCAAGCTCTCACAACGGTTCTTCTCTTTATGGCTCGAATATGCATCACAACAACCTTCACTGTGGTTTACATTTTTGCCCCTGAGGCAAGTCCTTCAACTTTGCTTTTATTTATCATACAATTCTGCTTTTATTTCTTACTATTATTATATTATTATATATAGATATATCCGACATCAGTGAGAACAACGGGTGTTAGGGTGGGCAGCTCGGTGGGGCGAATTGGCGGCATGATATGTCCGCTGGTGGCGGTGGGTTTGATACATGGCTGCCATCAAACCGCCGCCATCCTCCTCTTTGAATTTGTTATTTTTTCTTCGGGTGTTTGTGTCATGCTTTTCCCCTTTGAGACAAGCGGAAGAGAACTCACTGATTCTACAGTTCCTGAAACTGCAACCACTTTAGAAGTGGGTTGACTCCTCATGATTGTTTGTAGTTTTTACTTTTTAGGAAAACACACACACACATACATACTAGCAACTTGTAATCGATTATATGATAATTGTAATATGTTTTGAAATGGAGTAGATTTGTAATTTATATTCATATCTTGGCACTATGTATAAACAATTCAATTTGTTACATTTTTATTCAAAAATGTTAATAAGTCCTCTATTTTTACTACAAAGTTCGGATATTTCATTAAAGTAAGAATTTTTCCATTTAATCGCATATAAAAGATGTGCCAAAGATTTTCATGCGCAATATACATCCTATCTAAATCACTAAAATCATCCATGTGGAATTCAGCTAAAATCTGTGTATTTTTTGATGGGTTAAAGTCACATTACAAATTGTGCATAGATTTGAACTTTCACATTTTCATATCTACAACCATATTAAAACACTCTAATGTCACACCTAAAATCGTAATTGGGATCTGTTCAAAACTTGCAAAAGAAAAAAACAACAATGATGCAGCAACATGTTCATCTTTTATTTAAACTTTATTGTTTATTACAATATATGTTGGGGATACTACCTTTGGACATCATCCCATAGCCCAATAAATAAGTCTGAAGGGTGAACGAATTAATAACACGACTCAGGCCCAATAGTCGTGTCCACTTCATGACAAATTCTTATTATTGTGGGCTTGGACTCGAACAATGGAATTTAGTCAAATTACCCCTCCAAAATAGTTTTATTCTATTTTTTTATTATAACGGAGGGAATTAAATTTGCAAATTTTAAGTAAACAATAATTAATCTAAAAGGATAAGTACCGAAGAGTGTTGTAAAAACCGGT